GGGGGGGTGGGGGAGAAGAATTCGTGAGCGACTGAAGGTGTTTATCTTGGCTTGGCTAATAACAGAAGCAAAACATGCTGCGTGCAAAAGCTCAAGGCTTCCTAACAACCGCCGCCACAAACACTTCCTTACAGCCTAAATATAAACCGGTTGAGGAATCACACCAATGACCACGATGCGGCGCAAAGTGTCTGGCATGTGCTCAAAGCATTTTCTGCTCTGCAACCTTCCCGTGAGGTGACGTCAACAACACATTCAGCCTGAAAGGGAAAAAAGCTCAGTGGCGGAAAACGTCAACATTTCGGTTCGCTGTGATTCTGTGACTCCGCCCATTTACGGCGGAAGAGCGGGGTCCATGTCATTTCGCAGCGGCACTTACTTGGCTGCCCTGTCTTTGCTTTTCTTGCGAATCTGCCGAATTTTCTTCTCTCCCACTGGTTGCTCTGCTTTCTGTGTGCTTCCCTCTTTGGTTTTTTTCTCGGGCCGAGTGGAGCAACCGGACGAATCCTCGTTGCTCAAGGTGTTGGTGGGCTTGAAAGGGTCCACGGAGTCGTCAAACTTGTCCGGGTCGAAAGTGTAGGAGCTTTTGGGGAGCACCGGAGAATTGCTCAAAGTGCTGTTGCTCCCAAATGGATTGAAGTTGGGGTCATCCCACTGACTGGGATCAAAGTTATACGTTCCTTTGCTCGGAATGGGAACGTCATCCAGGTTTAGAGGCACAGCGGTGTCCGAAATTTGCACGTTGGTCTCTGGTGCTTTCTCAGACACCGATTCTGGCGCCGCGGGTTCTGGTGCTGGTTCGCAGGGAGGCTCTGACGTTTTGGGCCTGACTTGCTTCTTGACTTTGCTGGCTGTTTTTCTGCATCCTAATTTCTTTGGAGGCGGTTTGCTCACCGCCCCCTCGTCCGGACCAAACTCCAGCATCACAGCTTTTGCCTCCGAGTGCGATTCTTCACTTGGCGGCGCCGCGCTGTCTTCGGTCCGAGAGCTCCCGAGCGGCTCGGGCCTGGGGAAAGTTATTGTACCGCATGGCGGTGGAGAGTTCTGGATTTTGGATCCGCCACTCGTGAAAGGGTTGAAACTGTCGTCGATCTGGTCCGGGTCAAATTTGTAGGAGGCCTTGGGAACGGGAAGCTCTTCTTCCTCATTTGATTGCGCATCCTCCCTCGGCATCTGTTTTATTGACAAGGATGGAGGCTTGGATTTGCGGGTTTTATTTTTGGAACCGGAATCAGATTTTGGGGGGACGCCGCCGCATTGTGCTTCGGAATCAACAAGAGGCTTCTCCTGTGTGCGCTCCAGAGCAGGATTTGGAACAGCTTCATTGCTTTGGATCGAGTTTGTTGCGGGAGCGGAAGATGAAGATGGAGATGGAGATGGAGCGAGATCCAGATATGGTTCATTAACCAAGATGGGAATTGGGTCTTGAGGTGGTTCTGGCGATGGAACTGTGCATTTCGTCACTTCAGGAAGCAATATCTCTTCTCGGGGGGGTTCTGTTGGTGGAACTGTGCATTTCATCACTTCAGGAAGCAATATTTCTTCTCGTGGGGGTTCTGGTGGTGGAAATTGGCATTTCATCACTTCAGGAAGCAATATTTCTTCTCGTGGGGGTTCTAGTGTTGGAACTGTGCATTTCACCACTTGAGGAAGCAATATCTGCTCTTGGGGAGGTTCTGGTGGTGGAAATTGACATTTCATCACTTCAGGAAGCAATATTTCTTCTCGTGGGGGTTCTAGTGTTGGAACTGTGCATTTCACCACTTGAGGAAGCAATATCTGCTCTTGGGGAGGTTCTGGTGGTGGAAATTGACATTTCATCACTTCAGGAAGCAATATTTCTTCTCGTGGGGGTTCTAGTGTTGGAACTGTGCATTTCACCACTTGAGGAAGCAATATCTGCTCTTGGGGAGGTTCTGGTGGTGGAAATTGACATTTCATCACTTCAGGAAGCAATATTTCTTCTCGTGGGGGTTCTGGTGGTGGAAATTGGCATTTCATCACTTCAGGAAGCAATATTTCTTCTCGTGGGGGTTCTGGTGGTGGAAATTGGCATTTCATCACTTCAGGAAGCAATATCTCTTCTCGGGGGGGTTCTGGTGGTGGAACTGTGCATTTCATCACTTCAGGAAGCAATATTTCTTCTCGTGGGGGTTCTAGTGTTGGAACTGTGCATTTCATCACTTCTGGAAGAAATATCTCTTCTTGGGTGGGTTCTGGTGGTAGAAATTGGCATTTCATCACTTCAGGAAGCAATATCTCTTCTCGGGGGGGTTCTGGTGGTGAAACTGTGCATTTCATCACTTCAGGAAGCAATATTTCTTCTCGTGGGGGTTCTAGTGTTGGAACTGTGCATTTCACCACTTGAGGAAGCAATATCTGCTCTTGGGGAGGTTCTGGTGGTGGAAATTGACATTTCATCACTTCAGGAAGCAATATCTCTTCTCGGAGGGGTTCCGGTGGTCGAACTGTGCATTTGACCGTTTGCGGAATCGATGTCACTGGGAATGACTCAGGAACAGGCTCATAATCCATCGGCCTTGTCAGGCGACCATTTTGTGGCGCTTGTAGGTGTTTGCTTTTCATTTCCAGAGGATCTTGCATGGGGACGGCTGGTTCATCCTGACCCATGTTGTGGAAGAGCAAATTATTGTGATCCCCGATTGGAGCTGTAACCATCAGGTGCTCATCCTGATCCGCATCTGAAAAAGAACAAAGAAATGAATAATGGCCAAAATCATGTTAAAAAGGTTTTCTGCCTTAAAAAGCTCATGATGTTGACCGCATCCTCCAACAGATCATCCAATTCTAACCCCGAAAAGAAATTCTTAATCAAGACAATAAAATCAGTATTTGGTTCAGTTTTCTGGGGGGCGGGGGAGAAATGACATAGGCCATTATTTTGGGAAGGTGACGATATTGAAATCATAGTTATGTAAACGACGGCTGCACGTGCTAGTTTTTCCAATCAGATCAGACCTCGGATGTACGTGATATCCGATTGGTTCCCTGAGAACAAGTTACTATGCTGCCGACGGTCCCATCTGCGGCTGTTGCTATGGTAATATCTTGCTCGGAGATGAGCGCTCTGACATTTAAATCACCTGCTCGGGGCGATCATTGATAAGACACCACACATTATGTCGCACAAAACAACGACAGGAGCGTGAGCAACCACTTTGATGGAGTCTCTGACCCCAAAGACGCACGTCAACATATTTTAGTGTGCCTGTCATGGTGGCCGTGTGTAATATTATGTTGCTAGGAGACAACAGCCTACTGGGTTTCTTCTACTTTTATTCACCAGCTTGCCAGAATATTTTTTTTCCAATTCTAATCAAAACCCATGTCACGATCAGTCACAGTCAAATATAAGATTTGTTTTTTTTGGGGGGACGGGGTCTCGGGGCGGGGATCTGACTGTTTTCCATTAAAAAAATACACAAATAATATTTTGTTGGAAAGCTATTGATTTACCGATGTTTAATATTGTGGGTGATAATGTTAAAAAAAGGGTTCTCAGTGTGATGTGGTCAAATTCTAAACCCCTGCCAATTACCACAATTATTAATTATAATAAATGTTATTTTATAGATTCATGCTGAATGGAATAATTTATTAAATTAAGTAATTTATTCAACCAGTGTCCATTAAAACTGAGCATTTTTAAAAAATATATTTTTATAACAAATATTTTTGTGGGTTTTTACTATTTAATTCGTATTGCTACTTTAAAGATGTACAATGCAACAATGGATATTGAATTACAACTATTAAAATCAACATTCTAAAAGTATGAAGAATTTTAGTGTTGTGCTGTCTCGAAAAAGAGAATGCACAATGGTCAAGTTTGGACCTCAGGGGATAAGACAAAAGACCAACATGACAAAAACATCTTGAGTTAGCGTTAGCGCCCGTCGAATACATACACAAACGCGTGTGATGTCGGAGAGGAGGAGGTTGTTGACTCATGGGGAAATTCTCCCGTAACACTGACTCTCCTCACTATCCGAGCTTTGCAACGTCCTCTTACGAAGAAATGCCGTTTGACTGGATTGCTCTTTTAAAAAACAAACGTCTCTGGCATACACTGAGCATAAAATATGAGTGTGTTGTTTCAAAGTACTTCACACAGCTGCTTCAAAAGGCAAACTCTGTGATGGAATCCCTCCACCCCCCCCCCATCCCCCCACTTGTCACAGGCTGCGCCTCTTGGCCTTTCATGTTAAAAAAAAGACGACACTTCTGCCAACCTGAACTAAAATATCCAGCAACACTGTTTAAAAAAAACGGAGCAAAAAGCTATTGCATGGGGCAATTTGGGAGTCAAAGGAAAGGCAGGTAAAAAGTAAATCCTTCATGGGAGCTGGAATGTAGTAGCCAGGTACATTCCTGAGCCGGCCCGGCTGCAAGTGGATCCAGTTACACAGAACTTGATCTACCATGGATGCGCGTGGGTTCAGACACTGCCTTGAATCTGATTCAAGTCCATGTGTGTCAAATAATAATGATGACATTTGTACTTCTATGGTGACCTCTTTCATACTTTTATGGGCATGCTAACCCACAACCGACTCATTAGTTCGCCTTCCAGCCTGTTCGTTCCCTCACCTGCTTTGTTGTCAGCGTTGTTACTTCCCAACTCCCCCGGGACGAACGGTGGGTCGCGGACAGGAGTCGCTGCCTCGGGAGTGTCGAAATGACCGTCTGAGTCCGAGCTGATGGAGTCAGAGGGGGGAAAAGAGAAACAATGGAATGACTTGAGGCTCATTCCAAATCTGACAAAAATGAAAACAATCAAGACAGAGAATGACACAACTGTGCTTTCACTTACCAACAGTAAAGAATTGATCCCTCTCGCCCCCACCATAATCTCTCTACCCGACAACAGTACTTATCTTAGCGACCACAACAGTAAAGAAGTGAACCCTCTCGCCCCCCCATTCTCTCTCTACCCGACAACAGTACTTATCTTAGCGACCATGTTCCCCTGTCTAACAGAAACTTTAAAAAAATAATAATAATTTCAAGGATGCACTCTGCTTTCTGCACACATCTGAATCTGTCTAACAGAAACTGAAAAAAAAAAATTTAATTCAAGGATGCACTCTGCTTTCTGCACACATCTGAAATACATAACTGAGAAACCAGTATCAGACGGCCCTAAAACTAGAAACCAGTTACCCACAACATCTGCAACATTGCTACTGTTAACGGGCAGACACAGTTAACTTTTAGTGGCCACTTTTGACTGGGTGAACCCTCACAGTGCAACTTTGTTCTGGTCTAAATCTGCACGTTTCGAATAGTTCCATTCTGTACCAATCCACATCTACGTCTCACTGTACCATCTATCTACAACTTTGATAACAAAAGACTGTTGCCAATCATCAAGCCTGCCCCGAATGTAGCCCTGCTGTCTCATTATTGGACTCTTCGGGGTCAACGCTTGCCACCTTTTGCAGGGTCTAAAAATGTAGATACTATTTATATTCCCCAGTTGTAAAATCTGCAATGAAACAAAAGCAGTGCCAGCTCAGTGACAAAACATTGCCCCCCCCACCCCCCTTGAAAGTACACAAGCATGGAGGGCAGGAAGTAAATGCAGTACAGACAGAAAGAGGAAACAGGCTGACCTGCTGTCTTCCTGTCACACCACATTCGACACTCTGATTTCATGAGTCTTTCAGTCTAGTTTTGACACAGTAAGATGCGTGGCCCTGATCAACTTGACAGATTTGATATGATCACCATCACAATGTAAGAACAGCGGTTGATGTCACTCGACCGAAATAACTGCTACATGTGAGGCTGTCCTGCCATTCCCAAATTGGACACCTCCTTGCTTTGTTTGTTTTCTTCAAACTGAGAAAGAGACTAAATCAATGCCATAACGCCCAAAGCGTGAGTCATGTGTGCGCGTGAGGCATCACACCTATCTGCACTGCTTACTTTTGTCGCACAGATGACTACAGAGAACACATTGTGCCCAAGCCACAATCATGCCAGAAAATGGATCAGCAAAATCAAACAATCGTGTCCTCCTCTGTAAGAAACATGCGGGGGTCCTTTTAATTGTTTTTCTCTCTCTGAGGAATTCCCTCATCATTTTGCATTTTTTTTTCCTGACAGTACATGCTCATCATGCACACACAGGCACACGTGTCGACGCCACTTCCCTCCCTGTCACTAGTGTCCAAAAGAACACTTGCCTGCAGCCTTGAGATCTCTCCTCCTCCTCCTCCTCCTCTCGATGTACCCCCTGCTCGCCCCCCTCTTCCTCTGCTCCTCGCACCGCCGTCCACGTCCATTTGGCCCATGACACAGGTGACAACCAAGACATCTCTCCTCTTTCCCCAGCGTGGCGCTTGTCGACTCGATGCTGGACGTCGATTCGCTCACTTGGCAGCGATCCCTTTTGCTTCTTTCGCGTACTCTCTCATCATCCTATAAAAATGATTTCGCTCGCTAGGACCCCCACTGGTGGAAGGAACCATCTTTCCAAAAAACAAACAAACAAACCTGAAAGCTCTTCCCCTCCGCTCCCTGCGCTTCTCTGATCAGCTGGTTCTCTAACTGATTCGCTCACTTGGCAGCGATCCCTTTTGCTTCTTTCGCGTACTCTCTCATCATCCTATGAAAATTATTTCGCTCGCTAGGGCCCCCACTGGTGGAAGGAACCATCTTTCCAAAAAAAACAAACAAACAAACAAACCTGAAAGCACTTCCCCTCCACTCCCTGCGCTTCTCTGATCAGCTGGTTCTCTAACTGCTTACCGTCTCTCCTCTTGCTAACCCCCTCCCGCCTGCGCAGCAGGCTGCTCCATTGACTCGAAACCCGGGAGGGGGAGCCAGCGAGCTCGCGCTGCGGACGTTGACGTAGCTGTTCTTTCCTGAGCTCCAAGTGTCCCCCCTGTGGTTGGAGAATGGTACAACCCAAGAGTGAGCCATTTCTCTCCGAAGCCGAAGGAGGAGGGAGTCCGAAAACAAACCGTGAGGGTGGCGGAGGAGAAGGAGGAGCTTTAAAGCAGGGCCTCCTCGCTCCGTTAGGAATGTGGGGCTGTACCTAAAAACTGTTTTTTTGCAACCCCCCCAAGCGGTTTAACAGTTAACTGGCTTTGCTGTCATGTGACAGACCGGGGCAACCAGTTTTAGCATCACCTCAATAAATACATTTGACTGGATTCAGTTAGTCTGCAACTTTTATTTTTGACAGGGAGGGAGCCATCATCTTCAATGCACAACGCAGGTTGGGATGTGTTTTTGTCTTAATCGAATATAATAACTAGCCTTGCGCCATATTCAAGATGGAAGACTTTATATGAAGAGCAAAATATATGGCAGATATTATATGTCATGGACCGAAGTTGGACTGTTCCAACTGAATCCCACTCCTCAGGCTCCCCAGAAAACCAATCTGGGGGTGCTGGAGCAAAGGGTCCATCAGGAAACTGAATGTCACATTCAGGAGGAGCAGTGTGGATTTCATCCTGGCCGTGGAACGACAGACCAGCTCTACACCCTCTGCCCGGTTCTTGAGTGTGCATGGGAGTTTGCCCATCCATTCTACAAGTGTTTTGTGGACTTGGGGAAGGCGTTCGACCATGTCCCTCTGGGGGTTCTGTGCGGGGTGCCTCGAGAATATGGGGTACAAAACTGCCCTCTCTGGGTTTGGGATGAGATTCTGCCTCAAGTGAAGGAGAGGGTGCCTCGAGAATATGGGGTACAATATGGGTACCCCATATTCTCATCCCAAAATGGGTTTGGGATGAGATTCTGCCTCAAGTGAAGGAGTTCAAATATCTTGGGGTTTTGTTCACGAGTGAAGGAAGGATGGAACGGGAGATCCACAAGTGGATCGGTGCAGAATCTATTGATTTATTGTCCCTCTCTCACCTATGGCCTATATTACAAAACTTGTTACTGTTGAATGACTATTACAAATGTTCAATTATTCTCAACTTAACTGTATTTATAGAGCACTTTTATTACATAAAACATTGCATGTGCGATTAGTAGAGGCAACATGATGGGGATGATGAAATGAATTTTCATGATTTTCACATATGGCAGCTGCGCACAAGTTTCCATCACTGAGCAGAGGCACACGTGGCTCATTTAGAGGCTCCGCATTGGAGCACAAAGGGGGGAGTTTGTCTTTATTTACTGTGTGGGTAAGCCGAGGCATGCATATGGTTTCAAGGCGGTCACCCGGAGGTTGCAATTATTGTTTTGTAACAAGAAATCACTTGAACTGTAAAAGTAAAGATCACTTAGTGACTTAATTTTGGGGCCAGTTCCTCTTTTGTGTCTGGGATAGTCATAACGGAGGAGAGTTTCCTTTGGGGTGTTTGTCTTGTCTAAAAATGGCATCGATAAAGAGTAGGAGGTAGCATTCGGAAACTGTGTGTGGCTCTGAATAGAAGAATTTAAAGGCTGTGTTCCCAGCCCTTCTGCAGCCAGCTGAAATATGCCAAGAAGTCTGGAGATGTAGGAAGATCTGTACACAACTCAAAAAAGGCTCACATTTCAGATTCTGATACTGTGGGAGTTCCTCCCACAGTATTTTCAGAAAATAGTCTCAGCAGCCTCAAAGAAAAACAATCTGACCTTCCCTCCATTGTTGTTTTCTTCACGAGAAACAACTTAAACTCTGCCTCAAGCAAACAATACTTACAAATGGCGTATTTATAATAAGTTGCTTTAAGGCTCGCATTGTTCTCATAGTGACAGCCTTCAACACTAAATCCACAGCAAATGTGTACAAAGCATCATTATAGGCCTGAACAGTATTTACATAGCACTTCCACTGTAAAACCGTTTCACTTTTTCATTAAAGTAGTAACTCTTTTCTGCCTAAGTAAAACAAAAAAATTGGATACACGCAAATAATATGATCTTGGAAAAGACACAGTCAATGAGTCACAATATGGACAATAATTTTCGGAAAATTTGAGCTGTGTCAAAACAATTTGGGGCGGAACTCAGTCAACATTCAAAGAATGTGTGTGTGAAAGAAATTAGGCGGTATCTTTGTTGAAATACAAAAAAATACTGACTTCTCAAGTCATACAACACTAATATCTGCTCATTTTTAACAAGCTACGTACAGTATATGTAAAATGTTATTTTTTTAGGCAGTCAAAAAGCAAGAGTACAATAGTGCCCTCGAGTGGTAAAACATTAACATTACCACATGTATCAGCCTCCGTGAGATTACTCTCTCGCCGCTTAGTAAAAAGAGCTACAAAGCGTCATAAGATGATAGTTTCTAACCCAATACGCGTTTTGACTCGTCAAATTTGAGACGCATTTCAATAATTCAAGATTACGTAACTGTAGTGTGTAAAATAAAAAAATAAAGAGTGCAGTAATAACGTTTCTGGACAGATGGCGATAAAGCACTTGTAATATACATCAGAGTATGGCGGTGGAAACGGAAGTCCGCCAAACCCGAAGAAGAGTAGTTTCCGGTGTGGGTGGTTTGTTTTATGGTAGTTAATGGCGGTCGCGTACAGCGTTGTCTGTCAACATCCTCACGGTTTTAATTGTAACTGTCTAATTGTAATCAAACATGTACTCGGGTGTGTTGGGAATGCGGGGTAGTTACACGATATTTATGTTCAACTTTCAGGTTGGCTCATGTGCCGTGGTGCTTGGAAATTCACGGTTTAAGGCGAGGCGAAAACGACGTAAACGGTGAGACTTGGCACATGTCATATGCAAACAGTATTATGTGTTGTTGCGTCATAATTACGCGCTACTTTCTGTCTTATTGCATCCACACATTCTTCGTGAGTTGTTTTTGTTGTCGTGCACGTGCACGGTACAACTATAATCGTGTCCGTTCCAGCTGAGCATGGAGGACGAAGAAGGAGAGAAAGTCAGCGGGTGTGAAGTAGCCGAACTCCGTCTTCAGGTGGAGTCGTTGAAGGAAGAGCTGAAGGAGTGCAAAGCTGAGCTGGCCAAATTGCAGAAGCAACTGAGTCATTCCGAGAGACTGCAGAGGAGCACAGAGAGCTACAACGATGATTTGAGGAAACAGGTCCGAACTTGTCAAATCCAATCTCGTGATATTCAGCTCAAACGGTGTCAAAAATTTGTTGTCATAGACGCTGAGATACTGTACATTTTCAAATTTTTATTATCGTGACTGTACAACCCCAATTTACTGTTTTTTGTAATACAGATTATCATTCAAACGTTTAAACGCATCTCATTCCATACCAAGTGTGTCCAAACTTTTTACGAGTACTATACCTGTCCAGATGGTCCTTGGTTTACAATTGAGTTTTGTTTCCACTGCAGCGACTTAACCTAATTTTTTTTTAACCTCTGGTGGCTCATCACAGCCACATCGTTGGCTCAGATTGTATTTACTATCCAATTTCAGGTGGATCAACTGAGTGCAGAGATTCACGAGTGGAAGAAAAAAACTAAAGACAAAGTTCACACTGAAACTCAGACCGAAGAATATGTTTGGACTGACACAGGTGTCTTATGTTATTACTTAGTAATTGCCCAACCCCCTAAGAGTTAGTAAATGGTCTCTAATGGTGTTCTCTTTCTCTCCAGACTATTATAACTACTACTACGGTGACTACTATCAGAACACAGAGGCTGCGGACTCCCAGGAAAGTCTCGGGGCGACTCAAGCGGCGGATGCAACTGGTGGAGGTGACTCGGCAGAGGTTGCAACAGTTGAGCAAGCGGATGCAACTGCGGCCACGGCTGCGGATGTGTCTACTCAACCTGATAGCAGTGTGGTAGCCACCGCAGAGGTATGTGTGCCTCAAGAGAGCTCACTCATTTTTAATTGAACAGATTTTCAAACAAACAATCCCATTGGGGTTAACAAGCTCCAACCAATTGACTACTGTAGCAGGCTGATATAATGTGATGGGCAAGTTATTATTATTTTTTACAATGTACTTCCTATTTCTCTCCCAGCAGGGTGATGCAGCATCCATTGCTGATATGCTAAGAGCTACCGCTGAGGAGGCCATGACGCAGACGGGCTTTGTCTTTGACGAGACAACCGGCATGTACTATGACCACAGCACTGGCTTCTATTATGACTCGGTTTGTGAACATTTTCTCTGCAAGGATTTACAATTCATGTTTCAAATGGCCCAAGCGTTTTGACATTATTGACAAAGTTGGGACATACTGAAAGTCATGGCATAGGAAATAGAGGGGGGGTAAAAACACTTTATCGGATATCTTAAGATCAACATCGGTCATCTTCCAAACGTGGCTCAAAATCTGGTGTGTATCTGGATTGTGCCAATGCAAGTGTGGCGTAAAGGCATACATGAGGTATGCCCACCCTTCCCACTTTTAACGTCCGCATGCTCACCTCAGTTACGACCACCTTTCCTCCTATGCAATCATCATGTCGGGACAACATCAGTCAGTCAAGCGGACCCCGCTAACACATTACTGCACCTTTGGTACGACTCATTTGGTCCTGCACGATTCTCGCCTCAGGTCAGCCAGCTGTACTACGATGGCACCACAGGCATTTACTACTACTACGACGCAGAAAGTGGACGCTACCAGTTTCACTCCAAGGTCGATGTTTCTGCTGTGCACACTGGCGACCAAGATGATTGTGTGACTGAAAAGAAAGGCAGATGGTTCAAAAGAGGTGTGAAGAAAACCTCAGCGTACAACGATAAGGTAAGTGACAGACAGATCTATCCAATGGGCACGTGATTTACGAGTTGACTGCTGGCTTTAGAGCGTTTAGGAATTAATTTTGGTCTCAGTCTTTAAATGCATGCTGTCTTCCCAGTGTGTCAAAAATGTGAGGCTAGCTGACTAAAAGACTATTCCTCCGACCCAGGTGCACGAGCTGACTAACTCGTTGGCTAATATGAAGATTTTCTCAAACTGGAACTCTGCTTCCCCCAGAGGTACACATTTTGAATAACCAAGACTAGCATCAGAGATCTAGCAACACGCTCTCATCATTAGAAATCTTTCATCCCCGATAACCAACTTAAACATCCCAAAATGCATATAAAGTGCAATACAGAGTGATGTAAATAAATTCATTTGCATGATCTTCCAAATACATTGGCATCGTATTAACATGTGAGCCCGCAACCCTTGTGCGGATAAAGGGATTAGAAAATGGATGGATGGATTAACGTGAACAAATAGCCCTCCGTAAAACCGGGATTCATGACAAGAATGTATTAAAAAAAAAGTGCCACACACACCTTCTTAGCTTTTCAATCTGGTTTCAAAGGTGAGAATATTCTTTTGTACACTTGAATATATGCCCGCCGATCGTAAACTGCCTTTGAAGACTGAGACCGAATATATTCAAAACGTGCCAAATCACTTGGGATCTCCAAAGCCAGCTGTGCCCCTGTCAGTGAACATCATGAGGATCTGATTGCTCACTGTTTAATGGCAGGAGTACGCGTTCGATGAGGTCAAGTCGGAGGAAGAAGAACAGCAATCAAAGCGCACAACAGAATCCCGAAAAACTAGACGACGGTCCCGTAGTCATGAGTCGCGAGAAAGAGACTCCAAACGGCGGGGGGAGAGGGACAAGTCTTCCTCCAAGAGAAAAAAGCACAAAAGTGGCTCAAGCCACGACGAGAAGAGAAGGTCAAAGAAGAAAAAGAAGCGTTCCAAGTCGTCGTCGTCGCGCAAGAAGGAGCGCCGCTCGCCAACTCGGGGCGGTGACTTGGAGGGGAACAGCGAGGCCGAGGAAGGGGAGCTCACCGAGTCTGAGAAGGAGCAGTGGGAGTCTCCACCTTCTGTGTCGCCTTCTCGGAGCTCTCCTTGCAACCACAGCCCGGAGTCCGAGATGGAGACTCAGTGTCGGGCAGGTGAGCTGGCAACAAGCTGCATCAGCACTTTCCAGGACCTTTTAAGCCCAGTGACGCGAACCAGTAAGACCTGATAAGTCAGCTCACTCATGAATTTGCGATGTCTGAAAAAAATTAAGATGGGCTGTACCACGGCGGAACTGCGCAGAGCAATACGTTGCGAGAATAATCCAGAGTGGCTGCTTTTACCACTTAAGCAGTTAATTTTTTTGTTTTCGAATCCTTCTAAAAATCCTGCGCGCTTGACATTTCATGTTGCTTTTGCTGCGAGAATAATACAGAGTGGCTGCTTTTACCACTTAAGCAGTTGAGTTTTTGTTTTCAAATCCTTGGAAAAATCCTGCGCGCTTGACATTTCATGTTGCTTTTGTCACAGAGTTGTGGCCGCCCTGCGTGAGAGTGACGGTGGTCCGATCGCCGGTGCTGCAGGTTGGCACCTTGTTTATCATCACAGCTGACTCGGCGGCCACCATCGGCAGGTGTGTTCTGTCTTGTCGACAAGAGACAAATAATCATCACTCAGACTTGAAGCAAATCACTAGAAAGGCCAGCACCTTGTAAAAAGAAAAAAAAAGCGAATCTTTATTGTTTGTGTTGCAGAGAGAAAGACATGGACCACGCAATTCGGATCCCGGAAATGGGAGTGAGCAAGGTATGGTCCTGCGTTTGAAATGACTCGAATCAATGGGATGAAAATGATGTTTTGACAATTGCTTTGATTGGTTTGTAGTTGCATGCCGAGGTGTACTTTGACCAGCAGCAGCAGAGCTACATGCTCGTGGATCAGGGAAGTCAGAACGGAACGGTCATCAACGGCAACAGAATCTTGCAGGTGCAGTGTTCCCCCTCCCCGCCACATCACGTCTCACCTACCGCCGCCTCGCCACATTGTTCATTTTTTTTTCGCTGAATGAGTGTTTCTATCCTCGCAATATTGCACAAATCTGTGGTTTGTGGGCTTTTGACGGTAAACATTGCAGGAAAAAGACTAAGCCCTGTAGCAAACGGCGACAATCTGCGAGTAATTGACCTCCACACAAAGGGTTGGAATTGCACGTCAATGCCACAAGATAGCAGTAAAGCACGGTGTGACTTGACTAAATGAAGCTCCTCACCTCAGTTCAATGCGGTTGCTTGGCATCAAAGATGACACCAGATGATGCCAAAGTGGGGTTTTTATTTATTTTTTTATAATGGACTCGGATCTGGCCTGATTACAAGTATGGCAAATCGGTGAGTTTTCAAGTCAAAAGATTGTTTTCCCCTCCAAAGATCCACAAGTAGGCAAATTTGGAATTGAATTGAATGTCCTCACATGTGGGAAGCCTCAGTCACCGCTGTGACTTTTCCAGCAGTACATGTCAGGAGAACAGTTGACACACGAATATAACAAGCACGCGTACAGGGGCCGCCGTCGGCTACGGCTCAGGCCTTAGACAGCTGCACACAAACTCGCCGACATCCCACCAGGGCCTGCTTTCTAAAGGCGTCAATCTAACACGTAGGCATTAAAATGCTAACGGTATTTTCTCAGGCTGAAGCTGGTCCTCAAGTAATTTGAGTACCCCGGTTTAAAAAAAAAATGCTCGTGTAAGCAGACGTAGTTAATTGAATACCTGGTTATTTGATTTGAATTTTCCCGAGGATATCCGAATGCCAAAATATTCAAAAGTTGCAGCCCGAGTATTTTCTATCATGTTAATGCACTCAACTTTTGTTGTATTCGCGCAATGTATATTTTGACATGTTTAAAATGTGTTAAAAGTGTGGGATAGGTCCAACTATTGGAAATGTTCCCCGTATTTTGCAGCTTTTCACCTGTGGTAGGTGAGCCTGCAATGTGGCTGAACGGATTTGGGTTATTTTTCGTCGGCAGCAGAAAGTGACTTGTTCTCCGCTCTCCATAGCCCAAAACCAAGTGTGAGCCGCACCCACTGACCCACGGCGACGAGGTCAAGATGGGAGACACGGTGCTGTCTTTCCATATCCACGCCGGGACCGACACCTGTGATGGCTGCGAGCCGGGCCAGATCATGGCTCACCTCAGCAAGCACAAGCGAGAGGACACGCCAGGTGAGCGTATCGGAGACGTTCTTTTTCCGTTTCAGATCAGCGGCCTCGTCACCCACCGTGACGCACCTCGATTTCCTTTTCATCGCCGTATTTTCCGCAGGGCCAACGCTAACCAAAGAAGATAAGGAAGTACTGAGACAGAAGGAGCTCAAATCGATGAAAGCCAAGTATGGCCTCCAGGTAAATGGCTCCATCTGTATGCGGCCCTTCTCTCTCCCCTTCCGCCTTTTAAGCTGCTTTTCCTCTCGACAGAGTAATGAGTTTGAAGAAGGCAAAGCCCTGAGGAACCCAAAGTACAGGGACCGAGCCGAGTCTCGGCGTCAGACCGTGGGCAGCGAGGGACTTTTCCAACAAGATGATGCCCCTGCTTCTGTTCATGTGTAAGTTTACACTCGCCACTCTAATATGTGAAAGACAAAATAAGGCTTCATGACTCATTTGATATTTTGTGCTCTCTCAAAAGGGAGATCAGCGAGGTCAATAAAGGAAGGAAGATGCTGGAGAAGATGGGCTGGAAGAAAGGAGAAGGATTGGGGAAAGAGGGAACCGGAATGAAAGATCCGGTGAGATATTTTCAAAGAGGTCAAGCTTCTCTGAATTAAATCAATAGTTGAGTAAAACAACAAATGATGTAACCGGAAAAACTGTGGCAAAAGGTTTAAGCATTTCACCCCCCCACTCAAAAAAAAAAACAGAGAGGAATGTGATGCAAAAGCTGCGAGACACAACTTGCCTTTCATTGCAGCACAACAGCGATACCCAAGCATGTCGGAGGCGAGCACTTTCTGGCCGATTTTCAATTTGTGAACAACGGGAAATCCTCTTGGTCAGCTATCTGGCTAGTTAGCCGCTAATATTAATGTCAACGTGAGTGAAGCTGCCTGCTTCGAGTTGTAAAAAGTTAACATTATCGTCAGGCAGGCTAGCGAGGACGAAATCGTTAGGCTTGTTTGTGTAACATTAACCACAGATCTGAATAGGAGACTCAATAGACCAATGTGAGTATACGGCAGCCATGTTGGTGAGGACAACGTTCCCATCAGTCACAACTTACTCTTTTTTTCACTTTTCATGAGGCTTACCCGTTTTGTCCACATCGTCATTATTATTATTTTTTTTTTTTTTCTCCTTTCAGATTCAGCTTCAAATCCGGAAGGCCCAATCAGGTCTGGGAGCATGCGGGACCATGTCTGTGGACGACGCCTCACTGACCAGATCCAAATCCCAGAAGAACTGGGAGAAAGCTCGTGAGCGATTTGCCGACTCGTGCCAGGTTGACACGCCGTCGCCCAAAACCCAGTGCGTGTCCCCTAAAGCCTGGGTCAAAGCGGAGCCCGAGATTGCGGACTCCCATGCCGACGTTGATCCAGAGACCCAAAGTTAATAAGAACATCCACATTCGGAATACATGAATCTGACCTCAGCAATCATACACACAATTCTGTGGAGAGAAGAACTCGGTGTCAGGGTCCACCCAGCTCCGGTGCTGTACTGCCACCGTGGCCGCCATGGATTGCTCTCAGCAAATATTGACACACCGAGGTTCTATTTCTCGCAGTGAGCTCATAATGCGAGGAGACAACTGCAGATATGCTCGAATGTTGCACAGCGCGACAAGAAGTCCCAACGCATGACCCTAACATGACCGTGACAATGTGTATTATTAGAAATGACTGATGCTTTCTTTTATTTTTCATGTTGTAGATAAAACATCCATCACTTGATTGGTTGTTTGCCTCAACTTGTCCTCATGACTTTTTGTTGCTGCGGCGCTCGGGCACATGCACACACACACATCCTTTATCACGTCGGCGGGTGTGATTCACGTCGTCTGTTTTCAGTCTTATCTTTAAGTTCACGTTGAGGGTGTGTGAATAGTTGCATGTGCACATTCAAAACAAGTCAGTCACACTCACACACAACAGATTATACCTATCAAGTTTAGTCATGTGATTTCAGTCTATAAAGAAGAATCATTGGGGTTCTCGTTGAAATAAATAAATTGGTAATGCCATGTAAGACAAGCAACTTAGAGTTAACAATGTCAAGAGTTTCAGCGCATTCACAGTCAACAAGGTGACCGAATCGACTCACGTGACACTGTCTGCGTGACTCCCGTTGCCGGTTCCCTCGATGCTCTTCTGACTTATCGTGCCGCCCATTTTAATCTCGCAGTCGTCCACCCAACATGGACGCAGCCTCTAGGTTTCCTCACTTGAGACAGACGCGCTCTTCTGTGCTTCTTGACACCTCTTAATGCCGTTCACAGAACTCTCTGACACTTGACAGGTGACTTCCTCCTTCCCTCCCTTCTTCCCTCCCTCAAAACAATTGCCTTCCACGAGTCTCCTCCCTCCTCTCAGCTGTATACGCTGCAAATAATCAGCTCACCGTATTGTTGTCAAACATGGGAGGGAACCGAGTGGCATAACGTCCTTGATGTGACTCACAAAATTAAAAGGGAATTCTTTTCTTGTTTGATGATGCGGCCTGTGTCTTTTGTTGGATCTGGATTGACCAGTTTCAGACACTTCTCAAGTTTTCCGGGACAGTAGGTCTCTGTTCTATCAACTGCGGCCTCTTTAGAATGAATCACGTGATTTCTTCAGGGCGGCATCAGCTGATGCAACTGTTTGATAGTTAGTTTGTTGGGATTTGTCCTGATCCCCGAAGCTGTTGTGCAATCCTTGCAGTATGACTGACAATGTAAAGAAAGTTCACTTGATATCTCTCAGAGGAAGAATGTCTGATCACCTGCGGAAACTTCCCATATCTACTGAAACGCAAAGAATCGGGGGTTAAAAAAAAGCCACAAATCAGCGTGCTTCAATGATGTTGTCTTGCATGGCTTTTACAAACCTACTAAATCTCTCACTGTTTAGTCATACAAAAAGGAGGCCTTGTTCGATAGCTCTGAGGACGGCACAGCTCATAAGTTATCTAGAAAAACCACATCGGGTCATCCCCTCTCATACCGCACATTATGTCACGTCCGCGCACCCGACCAGACAAGTGGCTGTGTTGTCGTGTGAAACAAAGCAAACGGCGTCTCCAGATAACAGAGAGACTGTATGTCATCAGGTTGACGCTGCACTGATTAACGTCACTGCTGAAAGACATTGATTTTTTTTTTTTTGAGTAGTAAACACACCTCCGGCACTATGCTTCCTGGATTTACAAAATCGCATGAAATGAAAAAACAAAACCCAAAGATGGTGACTTGTCAGCATATCCAGCAGTTTTCAGCAAAATCAAGAATAATATCCATCTGATGCTAATCAGCATGCTTACTGAGGTCATCAGCAATATTTTCACAAGTGAACTTTCTTTGAGGTCAACCGTCAGAAGCTATTTCCTATTGGGAGCTGTCTGGAATGCAGCATAAGCAGGCCTATGGTAGGCGTGGTCACAGGAAAAAGTGAACACGTCTCCCAGCTGGTGAACTCCAGAGTTTTGATTTCACTTCCTGTATTTTTATGCAAATGAGTGAATGACAGGCAGCAACAATTCCTCTTCCTGAAGATGGCCATGAATAGAAACCAAAAGAGGCCACAATCAAATTCTAAAAATGTTGATTTGCTCACAATTTCAACAATGCGCATTGGATTAAAATTATGAACCCAAACGAACAACTGCTTGGCGGCTGATTTTGTCTCTTTAAAGACATTTTGCTCCAGGCGGCCACAGTGATCATATGAGCAGATTCAGGAATGAATGACTAAAACCTAGTCATCATCATCATCATCACAGTTTCCCTGCAGCTTAATTTCCACAACAGACCAAAGACTGCGCATTGTATGGACCACAGCAGCACACTCAAAATAAAAAACACAATGGGCAAATTCTAACTGAAAAAGACCTCTGACATTAACCATGGTCAGTTTGTGTTACAATCTGGGAGGGAGCCATAAAAAAAAAAAAAAAAAAGCATGACAAAGCACAGTCAGCGGCGTGGACTCACAACACGGGTCATGTGGTCACTCACAGCTACCAAACGATGACAAAAGCCTACAAAAAGAAGCGGCAGGGAGGGGGATTTTCTGCTGTCAATGCAAAACCAAATCCTGAAATATGTTGTGTTATGTAAACTATATGTAAATCATTTTGGAGTGTCCTAAAAACAGTATGATGATGATCATAATAATAATAAGAATTATTATTAAAACCCCTTTTTAAATATGGACAAAATACATGCACATGCGCAATATATGTGCTCTTAATAAAATGCAGTTGTCATAGTATATTTCTCAGTGCAAGTATAAAGGAGCCACTGTTCACCAACAAAGGGTTTCAAGCACACAACAAAATAACCTCAGGTGAGATTTGTTTTTCTTGTGCGATGGATTCTCTTGCAAAAATACCAATCAAGGACAGCACAAAAATGCTGAACAGTAAACCAACATTAAGTGCAAGGACACCTTTTGGGCATTCTTTCACAAAATAAAAATGCATTCATAAATGTAAAGGCCATGTCTGCCATCTAGTGGTGAATGGCTATATTACAACTTAATATCATTAAGTACAACCCCGCTTTCTGGTCTCCAGTTGGCCATCTCTGGTCTATAGTACAGTATCAGGTCTACAGAGAATTCAGCACTTGAATGAAGTGGAGAGGAAGTGGAGGAGGCGTGGGCTGTCAAGCTTCTTCGGTCACATGTTCTCAAACCTTTTTTTTTTTTTTGTCTGATGGGAAACGTTTCTCTCAGCTGCATTCCAGTGAGAACTTTTGTTTATTCCTACGAAAGCCCAATTTATATTCATGGAACCTTGATCTATTTTGGATGAAAATAAGTGTGAAACAATAAAGCATGGCACATAACTAGAAATTCTTGTTGCAATTTCATGCTTGAACGCCACATTCTCAACAGATACTCTTCTTGCAACTGTGTGCGTATAATGAATGGCTACTGTGGAAAACTTCCCACCCTTGCCTTGGCTGCTGTGAGTAAGCGAGCGTGTCCCAGCCTCAGGGTGTGTCTCCCTGTGACTTCATCCTCCCAAAAAAGCCTCCAGAAACGTCAGAAGCACACTCGCCCATATGATACAGTCAGTTCGCCTGTTCATTCAACAACAGGATTGTGTGTGCGTGTGCGTGTGTGTGTGTGTGTGTGTGTGTGTGTGTGTGTGTGTGTGCCTGAGGAGCATCCTGTTTATAGAGCCTGACTGGAACTCGCGCCAACCATCAAACAGTTATTAATAAAGCTCCACTGCACTCGTTACCTGTCAGTGTACAGTCAGCTGATTTTCACACACACACACACACACACACACACACACACACACACACACACACACACACACGCCACAAGACGGGTCAACTAGTTACGGGAATTATAGCTTAAGGAAAAGCTTTGTACGAAAACACACAGAAAAGCTCCCCAACACTCACTAAAACTAAACATGAAAGTTGATAGTGCTGATGCCCAAACGTGATGGAGCAGAAGCCATCACATCTACTTCTGTAGCAGAGCTCAGTGGATGGATCCTACCTTGGTTTATCAATTGAGACGTTGTCTAGTCTTGGAAGAATTAAGTCCTCCGTGTGAGCTTCCGCCAGAGTTGTACTGGGTGAACTTTGTGAGCCCGTGGTGAAACTCGGTCCATGTGGCTGCACGGGAAATGGGAAATGAGGCACTGAGAGACAGAGTGGGTTTTAAAGAAACAGCAGTCACACCCCAAACACACCTAATTGTGCAAAAAGAAGAAAAAAAATCACACACGCGCACATTTCTAAATTCCCATGCATTTACAGTATGCTATGCCTCCATATGAACGGGGCGGTCTATATTTATTTAACTGTTTTACACCGACATACGAGGCTCAGATCATTAATTGTATGTGTATCACTCATTATGTTTTGGTCGTTTGCTTGTTTAACTTACTTTTATAGATACGCTGTTTCCCAAGATCTGTCAATAAAAAAACAAACGTTTTTTTTCAATCTAACGATATACAATTAGATTGACAATTTAACACTGTTACGTTTTCTGATATTGTTAATTAAACACGACAATACAGGAATGCATTTACTTCCTCTACTGCGGCCATCATTAAAGTTTGGAAACTAAACTAGCAGAGGTCTCCCTCTAGTGTTTGTCTCTCAGAATGCAGAATTGCAGAACTGCAATCTGATTTCTTTGGGAGAAAAGCGGATGGGGGGGGGGTCAAAATCTGCTCTCCACTCCGCACAGAATGGCTGGAGAATTTATTTTTTTTACATTTAATTTTTTCTCAGAAAAAAATGAAACTCTATGCAAAATATTGATTATATTTATTTCGGAAAAAAATCATTTCCGGTTCCGGAGTGGAATTGATTGATCTGTTTCACCAAAGATGTCGATTTTAGCAGAGAGTCTCCAGCATCATGAGAAGATGTGGCAATAAATAAATAAATGAATAAATAAATTTGGGGTGTGGTCAAAATATGACTTTTATGCCACTATTTTAATAAAGTGGCGATTTGCATTTATGATTCTCAAATTTACCGCATTGAAGTCAGAAAATGGGAGGGGGACGAAACGTTTTTTTGGTAAATTGTGGGTATGATTTTGGAATTGGCCCCCAGCAGCGCCATTGTGGCGACTGGCGAGCCAACCGGATACGAGTGAAGAACGTGCTCAGCGGATGCAATGAGGACGTTACATCACTTGCAGTGCAGCATGCAGCATATAGAGGGGACTGAGGCAGCTTGGCCATATTGTGCACCAGCTCCTCTCTTCTCTTCACTCTTCTCTTCTCTCCTCCTCCTCAACAGCGGCTGCGTCACACAATTCAGGCGCTTGGCGTGTGTGACACAATCAACAACACACGGTGCCGTTGAAGGAGGGAAAGCCGCAGAAATCGAATCCATTTTTCCAAACATTACACTCGGCTGAAAAGGTGAGTGTTCCGATGTTTGTTATTTTGGTGTTGAACGCGATTGTTGTGTCCCCTCCACCCCCCACCCCCCAGTCCACAAAGGCGACACCTCACAACACCACATTATAACACCGCGCGTGTTATTTATGCTTCGTATATCAGAAGAGAAGCGAATTTAGATTCAAACGACGGTTGATATCCGCACAATAGCCTATGATGCTTGATATGAATAATAAAGGCCGGTGCATGAGCCCCCCTCCATCTCTCCTCTCCTCCAGGTTTGGTGTGTGCACAAAATGGTTAAACTGGGGAATAATTTCAGTGAGAAAAACAACGGGAAGGTGGCCTCGGAAGACGGATTTGACACAATCCCCCTCATCACACCTTTAGATGCCAGCCAGCTTCATTTCCCTCCACCGGACAAGGTAAGGGAATAAAGGGAATTAAAAAAAAAAAAAAATATATATATATATATATATATATTTACCAATTGTTCTAAACTGCCGCAAAATCAGTTCACAAAAAAAATATATATATACATTTGTTTCAATAAAACGGATGTTGCATCGTATGAATTATGTAATCATATTATTGTTATTCAAATATTTTTAAAATCAGGGGAACCCATTTTCTGTACCGCTTATCGACCTTAAAAAAATGTACGGCCAAACTAATCACAATAAACTCGATCAATTAAAACTCCTATAAGCTTGTCACTCTGAACTGTTGTCCCTTTCAAGGCGGAATGCTTGCTGCAGCTCTTGCATTAGATTAGTTAGTTGTACCTAATGAAATGGCCAGTGAGAGTATCTATTGTCCAAGCTACAGCTCCTGTGTGAAATTCTAGCACGTGCAATTCCAAGCTAAGTACATTCCTGCTTGTATGATTGTACCTGTGTGTGTGTTTGTGTGTGTGTGCGCGCGCTTCCAGGTGGTGGTGAAGACAAAGGCGGATTATGACGGCGAGAGCAAGAAGGGCAAGATCAGATCCCCCAAAATCGCAGAGTTCTCGATAAGCATCATCGAAGGCGTGTCTGAGCGACTGAAAGTAAGGTTCCTGCTCTCTGAAATATCCAAAAGTAAAACTTTTATTTTTACTCCACAAATATGTACAATAGCTATGTTGGTAACTTAGTACCATGGAAAATATTTTCCCCTCTTTTATTAGCTTGCATAAAAGGCTAAATTAGCTCATGATAACTGAAATAATACGAAAACAAACAAAAAAGTAACATGCCTAATTTCACAAAGGAGTAGAAGGTACACGTAGCTGTTTTTAAAAAGTCTTCGGAGAAATTGAAGCGCAGACTCCTGACAGATCGACTTGAAGCCACTCTCCATTAACCGAATCAAAGTGGCTCTGACCCACTTCAACTTCCTGAGTCCTGCGACTTGACACAAGACTCCATCATGCTCAGCCATGATTCACTTGACGCTTCCCTCAGCCGCTCGCATGAAATCAGCTGTTGCCATGGCGATGGCCTCCCAGTGGTCGCTTGTGTCCTACGTCTCCAGTGTTTGGATGTGACCATTTGAAAATAGGCTTGAATTAAACAGTCCCGGCTCGTCCCGAGCCAACAGATGAGCCTGTCATTGTCAGGTGTGATCAGAACCTCTTTTAAGATCACATGAGCTTTGAAGTACTGCAGGGAGCCCTCGCCTCAAAGATCTTCGAGAATTTCCTGTTGTGTTGCTTTGTGTTTGCCGCTCCGACGGGCCGCTCCTGGCATTAAAAAGAAATTTCTTCTCGGGATAGACGCTGGACTCATTTATTTTCCATCACCAACCTTGCCCACTTGTGAATTTGCAATTTTTTTATATTTTTATGGGGCTTGTATCCTCTCTTTTTCAATGAAAAAAAAAATCACTTTCCTCTTTTTGTTCTCAAGCTGAAGCAATAAAAGTATTACCTTCTGTACCATTTAGTAGCATCTTGGTGCCGAAGAGCTCCACTGAAGAGAGTCGAGGAGCTTAATTTAGACAAAAGTAGTCCTTTGTCACCTTCCCGTGGCATCTTTGTGCCAAGGAACTATGTTGAAATAAGTTGAGGAGTGTCATTTGACAAAAGCAGTGCTTTGTCACCATCTTGTGGCACTTACAGACATCTTTAGGGGGAGGTGTCAATTACTGGTTATTTGCATGAGGAACCAGTTGTGCCAGGCGCTGCACTAGAGGTCGTATGGACTAGTCGACTCATCTACTTTACAACTTCATCATGATGTTCAGGGCGTGACATCGACTAGTCTCCAATCACATTTTTGGCTGAAGGAGGAGGCAAAGCCGTTTGCAGCAACAGATGAGTGCGCTGAGACGAACGCATTGTCAATTTCTGAATGCGCAGCTTTGAGGGAGAACCAATAACCGTATTTCAACAGTCCTCCTCCCCTCCCCAGAAACAGCACAAGGTGTTACGTAACTCCCCCCCCCCCCCCCCCCCCCGGCCCACGCG